CCGGAAGTTGACAGCAACTTTCTTATTTTAAATGGGTGACTCCATTTTTTACTACATGCTTAAATTCTCTGTAAAATTTTATGAATTTTGATATTAAACACTCTATACCTAACGTTAATCGTTTTTGAGAAAAAAAAATATTTATAATTTTTGGAGGAAAAAAACTGCCTGTCAAAAATATGTATATAGCTTAAACGTCAAATTTAGTGATTGCCACAGCCACTGTACCATAAAAAGAAGACATTTGGCTATCTATGTCAAAAATTAAATTGTTCGAATGTCATATAATAATGGCCGGAGGTGTCATGGAATTGAGCGATTAAAAAATTATCATAAATCATTTTTTTTTCAAATGGAAATCCACTTTTTTTATTTCACCGTGAAAATGTTTTCGTTACTTTCGTTTTTAAAATGTGTTACTTTTTGACTATACTTATGCCTATAACAGTATATTATCGATCATCATTTTCAAGCTAAAAATACGAGATATATTTATATAAATACACTTTTTAAACTTTTAAGCAGGCAGTAGTTATAATATAGGAAATTCAAAAAATTAATTTTCTGACAGATGAAACTGAATTGTCTGACTCTTTGACAATGCCAAAGGAAGCTAGATAAAATCAAGAAAAATATATACGTTTTCAAACTAAATCTTAAATAACTTAAAAACGATTTATTTTAGGTATAGGCGGAATATGTCTAGTTAAAACGTAACGAATTGGAAAACCTTTTTACTAGTAAAATAAAAAAAGTGGGCTTCCATTTGGAAAAAAATATTTATGATAATTTTTTAATCGCTCAATTCCATGACAGCTACCGCCATTATTATATGACATTTGAACAATTTAATTTTTGAAATAGATAGCCACATGTCTTTTCTTTATGTCACAGGGGCTGTGATAATCACTAAATTTGACTTTTAGGCTGTACAAATTTTTTTGACAGGTACTTATTTTCGTCCAAAAATTTTAAATATTTTTTTCTTGAAAATGCTTCCAGGGAAATACCGCAACAAAATATCGCGATTATGTAAGTCCTCCAAGATCCGAGGGGCCCCTTCGCTGTCTCACGCCCGTGGCCCCCGTTATACTAAAGGAAAATGAAGCTAGAATATAAGTTATGTTGTGCATTGGTTGTAATTTAAAATGTTTATTCAGTAAAAATAAATAATGAAACCATTGAAAAGTAACTTAAAAGCTAAAATAAATAAATTCAGTTTCAAAATATATAAAAAATTATAATTATTCGATATTTTAAACAAAGAAAATTATCCCTTGATTTAATTTCCTAAATAGAAAATTTCATTCACAATTATTGGGACCTGATAATTGATAATTAAGTAAATATCTGCTTCCATTTATACTGTTAACAAACTGCTTTACAACTACTGAACATAATATTGGCCTTGTTTGCCAGTTGAATAAAAAATTACTTATTAAGATTCGGAGGCCCCCTAAAAGACGGGGCCCGGGGCGGACCGCCCCTTCCGCCCCCCCCCCCCTTTGTCCGCCACTGTACACAATAAAAGCAAATTTTATGTGATATAAATAGTCGTGCAGTACATTTAATAAAAAATTATAGTAAAGTAAATAAAACTTTTTTTAATTTTGTCATCGTTTATGTCAATGTCTGCATTTATTAAATAATAATTAAACCAAAAAAAATCGAAAAAATGCTGTTTTTTAATTATAATGAATTTAATTTAGAATGATCAAAGCAATTTTACAATTCATGCACTAATTACTGCCCGTAGAAAGTAATTTTAAATCCCATCATAGCACAAAAATTAAAGAGCCAAACACCCTCTAACTAATTCTTCAGAACGCATAGAGTTGATGAACAGTGGACAAAAATTAGAATGTTTTTCTTTTAGTCATAAACTAGAAATAGGGGGTCACGTATTGAAAAAAGTTTCTTGATAAGAACTATATTTATTACAAAAGTGTAGAAGTCCTCGTTTTAGTCACATATTGATTGTTTAAACGGCTTGAAATATATTTTATACGGGATGTCCCAAAATTCCGTGTACATAGAACTACTACGTATTTGTCGAACCAAAATAAGTTTCTTGGACACACGATGTACCTCTATATAAAAGTGCTTCTTTTGTCCGTTAGATGGCATTAAAACTTTAATAAAATAAACACATTTTTTCAGATATTTTAAGAACCATTTATTCCGATTTGAGTGAGATCTTGTGTGTCTATGTTTTGTTAAGCACGTTAACATTTGACTTTCACAAAAATCAAGAAAAAGTACGGAAAGGGTAAAAATTACTTCCACCCCTATATAAAAATAAAAGTATAAAAAAAATAATTTCCAACTCTAACGATCACCATTTTTTTTTTGTAAAATAGTCCTTTTAGTATTTACTATATTTTTAGTCTCTTGTAAAAAAACGCCACCGCGCATACTTTTTGAGGAAAAAATATATTTTTCCAAAACTTACTTCCAAAAAACGTTTCTTGACACACAAAGCTATTGAGGCGAATAAAATCTATTATAATAATCTAGTTGGTGAAAATATGGAATTTCATATTCGTATCACAAATTATCTAAGCTTCATAAAACGTTTAAAAAATTAATAAATTTTAAATTAATTAACGTTCAGGTTTATTTTTGATTTTTGACACGGACAAACGAAGCACTTTTGTATAAAGGTAAATTATGTGCAATTAACTTATTTTGATTCGAAATATACGTAGCTGTTCTATTTAGATAAAAACACGGAGATTTGGTATGTTAGTATATGACATAAATTAGGATTGATTGATTTTATTCAATAATTTTTTGGTCACTTCCTGTTTCACCGGAAATGATAAACTTTTGATTTTTAAACGACAACCTCGGTATTTTTTTTTCTTTATTATATGACTTTATTATAAATGAAACTCTGAATATAATGACATATCATATGTGAACTTTTGATATTTTCGCATATGGTTTATTTGAAACTGTAGCATGCGGTTTATAATGACAATTTGACTCGAAATATACAGGGTGGCGCCTCTTATACGCCGCGGAGGCTCCAAGGAGAACGAAAGTTTGTATTGAAATGAAATTTGGGCAGCATATGTAGGCTAATTCAGAGCACTTTTTAAAAATATAGAGAGTTCTACAGGGTGTCCCCCAAAAAAGTTACATATCAAAGTTTTGTTTTTTGTAATGGAACACCCTATATATTAATTGATTTTCGGGTTCTGGGAGAAAAATAAAGGTGAGTTTTATAAGAAAAGTATATGAGTAAAATGTAAGGTTTTAGACATATTTAACATTTTCTAGAAATAAAGAACATTTTTTTAAATTACAATAAAAGATACCTAAATTGGAATTTACCCGGTATAGCCTAATATGTCGTTAGATTAACTATTGTACTTTAAATCAAATTAAAACTTGAAAATGTTATACAGGGTGAGACAAAATTAATATTGAACATTGGTCGCCTTTAAAAGCATGTTACTCTTTTATTTTAAATGGAACACCCAGTATGTTATTCCGATATTCAATGGAGTATTCATGTCTCTTCAAAATACTGTTAAGGTTGCCTACCCCTCAAATAAAGATTTTCCTAGATATTTTCATTTACATGATTTGATCTGAGTAGATCTTTATTATTTGATAAAATGTAGGTGGCTGTGATTATGTCTGACGTTACTTCAACATAGCTATCAAATTAGTCCAACTTTATCAACTAGTCATCATTTAGGGTCAGTTAAAACAAAAAAAATTCTTAGAAATTTGCTGAAAATGCAAACTTATCCTGCATCAGAGAGAATTGATATGATTATATTAATTGGTGAATGCAGTGTGCATTCACCAATTAATAGAAAACTTAAATGCTCCTGGTGTCATCTAGTCTGGTTTTTTTATGGGGATATGTTAAAGACAGTGTTTACAAAACTCGACCAACTATTGTCGACAACATGAGAGAAATTATTGTAGCTGCTTTTCGAGGTAGAACTCCACATATGCTTTTTAAAATGAAAAGATCCTTTTGAAAAGACAATCATTTTATGTAGTTAACAGGAAAGGAAGCATTTTGAGCATTTGATTTCATCTAGCTAATTTTTGTCACATAATTATAGATTTATATGTATATATATATATATATATATATATATATATATATATATATATATATATATATATATATATATATATATATATATATATATATATATATATATATATATATATATATATATATCTAGTTTTAATTCTGTAATAATTAAAATATGTTTTAAACGTGTATCTTTTTATTACCGCTGAGTGTTTTACTCTACAATCTTTAATTTTTCTTAAATTAACAAAAGGTATATCACACGGCCACCCAGATTTTTTCAAATAATAAAGATCTACTGACGCAAAATCATAAAAATTAAAATAGTTAGGAAAATCTTTGTCTGAGGGGTAGGCAACCTTAATAATATTTAAAAAAACATCATAAATATCAGGCTATACAAGGTCAACTAAAATTTAGGTAGCTATTATCGAAATTTAAAATTTACTCTTCATTTTCACAAAATGTGAAATATGTCAAAATCCTTAGATTTTAGGTATATGCTTCTTTAATAAAACTCACGTTTATTTTTTTCCTAGAAGCCGAAAATCAATTAATATATAGGGTGTTCCATTAGAAGAAACACAACTTTGATGTGTAACTTTTTTTTGACACCCTGTATAATTCTATATATTTTTATAAAATGCTTTCAGTTAACCTACATAGGCTCCCAAATTTCATATCGATATAAACTACAGTTCTGCTTGGAGCTTCCGCGGCGTATGAGAGGCGCCACCCTGTATACATTGATTAATCTAAAGTTTTATTTGAAGGTATAAAATTGAACCTTATAGTAAAAATTATCTTTGTAAAAATTATTTCTAAAGTAACAAGCAAGATTGAGCATTTTTTTTGTCCATTATCATTGCCATTTCGCCACACTGCACGGGACGCTTGGCTAACTTTTTTAACGCGAAAATGACTGTCTGTGACTTACCAGCGGATCCGCAATTAGTTTGCAAATGGAAAAGCGGCCGGCGTGGAAAATCTGCCACAGCGGGCGACATTTTCCGATTTCCTTGGCGACGGCGGCGGCTACGTGTCGGTAAAGGTCGCGCAAGTAATTTTCAATTTTGCCCAGGAATCGTCTTCTTGTCTGGAACAATTAAACAGAAATGGTATTTTGAATGTCTTGCTTTTTTTGTTTTCTTTCATTTATCTAAAAGTACCTATTTGTTTTTGTTTTGGTTTTGCTTTTTACAAAATACAAAACTTAAATGTTGCTACCTAAATGCGCTACTCGGTGCAGAAGCTAAAAAAATCGGACTTTCATTGTCTATATTTGTTTTGACCTACACAACATTTAGGTCAGATGGATCACTGACAGTTATCACGTGCAAACTATTCTAATTTCTAAGACTACTAAGCTTTCATACTACAGCTAAGCATTCATCCGTGAAGTAGTCGGTTACACTGAAAAATGAGAATGCCTAGACGAAGTACAATCGAATTGTAAAGCTGACTCAATGGTGCACCGACCTGAGGAGCAGCTTTCTCTCTCTCTCTTTCTTGACTATTCCATATGTAAAAGGAACGTAAGAAAAGATTAAGCGAACACCCAAAAAGTATAACATTAAAACTGTCTTCAAATCTGATCGATTGTAAAAAGCGTCCTAACAAAAACAAGGCCGGAGTCATCGAAACAAGAGAAAAAGTGTATCTACCAGATACCTTGTGAATGCGTTGAGACTAATGCCGGGACCCTATTAGGCCACACGCCACGCTATAGCACGTGAGCCCACGTAAGTCCACGTGTTGCTACGTGGGAAAGTGTATACACATGACATCTGAGACAGACGAATTGCTCATCACACGTGTGGGATGGCGTGAGCCCTAGTGTGTACGCATGTAATTAATGGAAAAACATAGACACATATTTTCATGACGTGGGGTGGCATGGCGTAGCGTGGCGTGGCGTGTTGTCTAATGGGGTCCCGGCTTAAACGTCCTCTAAATGTACGACTTTTAGCGAGCACAAAAAAACATGTACAAAAATGTGAAACATGAAGTCAGATATTGCGGCCAAAAAATCAGATATTTGGTCAAAACAGCACAATATTTTTTGAAGCCGTTTTTTTAGCAAACAGTAATAACATCTTTAGCAATCCTAGTACAGAAATATCAACGATATGACCACAACTGATAAAACGCACCAATGCAGGCATTCTCAGTGGACAATCTGTTGACTGCAGCCAACAATGCGCATGATATCCTAAAAATACTTTACTATATACAGGATGTCCAAAAAAAGTAGTGATATAGGAATCGTCTTCTAGTCTGGATCATTTAAACTGAAATAGTATTTCGAATAATTTTCTTTTAATTTATTTTTTTAAACATTTTTTTTATTTTTGTCTGTTTTTTTTTAAAAATACAAAAACCAAAAAGTTACTATACTCGGTGTGCCAGTACTACTGTATCAATGAAACAGCTTATTTATATATAGTTTTCTCACGATACATTTCCTCGTTTGAATATTCCACCTGATTGAAAGAAGATAGAGTTAACTAAAATTTGGTGTTAATTTAAAATATGCGATTTTTTTTGGAGAGGTAATTAAATTGCATAAACGCCACTATCGGAGACGGTATTACAGAGGTTATAGTTCTCCATCTCCGATATCAGTCGTACCAAAGTTTATGACATTAATGTTTGTCGCAACGGTGCACTCAGTAATGCGGAGTTCTGCTGTTTCCACATTTTCCTCACAGAATCTGCATTCGCACTTGTTTTTTAGCTTCAATCTGCGGAGCTGTTCGTTGAGGAGACAGCTGTTAGAAACCCCGTGACTATCCGAAGATTTTTCTTATGGTGGGTTCATACAGCCAAATAAAATAAAATAAGAATAAAATAAAATAAGAAATAAGGAATTCTTATTTGTGTGCGTTCATACAGTCTAATAAAATAAAATAAGAAATATATATTTGGTCATGCGCAGTACGATGAGGCTGGATAAAAGTTAACTTTTACGATTGTTTATAGTAATTTTACTATTTATAGTATATTTATTTATTCGTTGCCTACTATATTATACATTTTACTTATGTGAAATTATAAAATAAATTAAATCCAAACTGAAAATATTTGTAGGTTAGAATTAAGCGTGCGCAAAGCCGTTTTCACATAAAATAAAACAAGAAGTTAAAAGACAAAGACTTCTTATTTTATTTGTTATTTTATTTGGCTGTATGAACGCATGTACGGTATCCCATATAACCAACTTTCTTATTTTATTTTATTTTATTCTTATTTTATTTTATTTGGCTGTATGAACCCACCATTACTTAAAACAAGGAAAATCTTTGACTTTTCTCGGTCGTAAGTTCTGAGAAACTTTTTCGAGTGTCTCAGACCTTTGAAGGACTCCCATTCCAAGTTACGGATGGAGTCTTCCAGGTTTTTGAGTTCCGCTTTAACCCTTAACTGGTCCGGCGTCGCGTCGTCTGACAGACTACGCCAAATAATTAACTCAGCCTCATTAGTTACTGGGACCGCCCAAAGGATTGGCGTTCTAGCTAATCCTGCCCCTCTAGCTCAACAACTGATAGCCATATTTGTGCCCAAACTGGATTAGTTTTTTAGAAGTTCTGGAAGAAGTTACTAAAGCCGTAGTCTCACAAACGACGCTGGACCGTTTGTGTAAAATTTTATGTGTGACAAATTTGTGTAAAATATGACCGGGTCTTCGAAAAGAGTGCCCTTAGGAGACTCTAGTTATGAAGAAACTTTATTAAAATGATATGATGAGGACTGTGATAGTGACAATTGGTGACAATATGACAATCTGCCAGACAAATGCGTTTGACAATGTCAAATATTCCACGAGAACTATTTTTATCCTAGAGTTCTTATCCTAGTCAAAGACAATGTTACGTCCTAGTTAATTATTTTTAATGCCTAGAATGTACGAATCTATTGTGTAAAACATGTTCAGGAAAACAATGAAATTTGCCTCAAGCTGTAACTAAAATCTTTTCCTTTAACTCCAGTTTTATAACTTATTTTTTTACATAATAGTATTAACATCTTATTTCTGTATTGTAATGACTGTTAGTAATTTGGTTTTATTTTTAGAGCTTAGTAAAAACCTATATTTGTTTTTTTTCCAAATTTATATGTATGCTATTTTATTTTGTACTATATTTTCTGAAAGTTTATATTAATTGAACCCATTTTTGTCTAGATTAGTTTAATAATACATAATATAATATATAATGAAATAAAAATTTGTTGTTTTTTAGTTTTTGTGTGTTTTTTAACTTTTTAGAAGGCGTAGTCCCACAGACTACGCCGGACCGTTTATGATATATATCTATTACCGGACCAGAACCGGACCGGTTCCACTTGTGAAGCAGAACAGTTCTTCCAGCTAGTGGAGTTTTCGCTTATTTTCTAGCTAGGATGTTTGCTTTTCACTACCTTCTTGGTGGGCTAGCACCCAGAGTAGAAAGGTTTTATTTTCTTTGCCTAATTTATTCAGTTTCTCTAAGCTTTCTTTTACCAACTTCGAATTGATGCGATGAAACACCGCGAAAGTGAGTGTTCTAATAAGATGCTTATATTCTGTTAGAACAGTTACTTTTGTAGGCGTACGATTCAACATTTGAATGACTTGTTTCTACTTTTGTCACTGAACTACTTACCACTGCGGACTGCGGATAATAATGTCACTGCACATTATTACTGGTTATAATGGAAAATTACAAAACAAAACAAGTCCCAGAAACTTTATATTAAACCAAGCGAAAGAAATGAGACGGGGCAGTAAGGTCGCCCAAGTAATTTTTAACTTTTGTCGAGAATCTTTTTCTTGTCTCTTGCAATTAAACGCGATGCTTTTGTTGGCTTTGCAGCTTTCTAATGCCGCGAACGACTACTGTTATTGTCGACGTGCCGGCTAAAACAAACGGATAATAGGAACTAAATGAAAAACGGAGTAAAACTTTAAAAGAACACACAGCTTTTCGCGGTAATTGTTTCTGAAATCGAGGAAAAACTGAAGCTTAATGCGATGTAAAAGCTTCGTTATTGTGGATATTAATTTAAAAAAAGCAACAATACTGGTTTTAAATCACACACTGAAAAAATTAATTTGTGAATTTAATTACAATATTGATGGTTATTTATTGTCACAGATTATTGTAGTAAATTTACCATTCGTTCTTTAGTTTTACAACTCGTTTGTAAAATCGCTGTATGGCTAATTTGGAGCATGTATGTAATACAATATTCTTTATGAATTTCAGTAAAAAATGTGTATCTCATAGTAAATTTACTTCTTCATTGTAAATTTATCTTTTAAAATCGCCAACTTCTTGTACTATTACTATAGAGTAACAACAAATTTAAACATTTTATTATAGTGAATTTACAATTACTTTTGTAAATTCACAAAGCTTTAGTAAATATTAAAAAAATTAATAAAACACGTGTTTTATTAATAATATAATAATTATTATAATATTTATTATAAAGGTTAACAAAAAGTCAACTTATGTATGTAAGATACTTATCGCCATCTCTTCTTGACTAGAAGAACCTTACTTGAATTCTGAGCTTAACCAAAATAGGAACAAAATTGCCATTAGATACATGCAAGAAAAATGTATCTAATCAGAACAGTCAACTTACTAACTTAGAAACTACAGATGTATAGAGTCCTCTACTCCAGTCTTCAATTAAATTAATCCTCCGAAACACAGTCTGAAAGAATAAATAATACTTGAGATATGTTGATATAGAGAGATAATGGAATAATTATGTTTACATAAAAAGATTGCTAAAATTAATATGCAACTAATTATAATAAATAATGATTGTGTTTTCTAAGAGAGTTGGCTTTATATTTACAGAAACTGCATATAAACATAATTAATATAATATACTTACCCTTAAAAATAATAATCATCCACGCTCTGAGACGTTCTCTTGAACTGTTCTTCGTCTTTCCTCTTAACTACGTTTTCAATCGAATACTTAATGCGCATCAGCTTTACAAGAAGTCACGTGACCTGGCGTCATTTTTTACTAAATATATTATGGTAAATATACACAAGTTTTGTGAATATGTGTAGACATATTCAATTTTACTACAAGATTGTATTTCTCGAGGGGTGTCTCACTCGGGTAAAAAATGTACACGTACTGCCAAAATAATTTTTCACTGTCAAGCGACTGCCAATGACTACGAAGAAGACTGCCAATGACTGCCATGTAATTATTATAGGCGACTGCCATAAGACTGCCAATGACTGCCAGCGACTGCCAAGAAAATGTACAGGGTGGTTCAAATTCGACGCTTTTAAATGGAAACACCCTTTTCTATAGAAGATAGACAAAAACTAATATCGGTGTCTTGAGCTCATTTTTTGTCAAAAACATGATGGTAAAAACCGCATATCGATATCTGTTACCGTTTCGGAGTTACGGGGTGTTTTTTAAAAATATGCATTTTTAACAAATTGCTGTAACTTTTTTGCTATGGAAAATTTTGTATTTTTATGAAAACATTTCCAAAGCACCTTTTTACGTAGAATTTAATGGTTTAAGTATATATATTTTTTAAATTAATAATTTAAGAATTATCAACAGAAAATTTGATTTTTTATATGGGGCACCCTGTATATTTTTAATTTATTGAAAAGAATTTAAAATTACCTTTCCAAAAATATACAAACCAAACCAAACCAAACCAAACACATTTGATATTTTCCTCAATTCCTCTTCGAGATATTAGAGTATATAAAAATTCGCCCGCTTTAAATAAGTAGGCTTTGAACGGCACCGGCTGTAATGCAAAAAAATTCTGGCTGTGAGCATCAATTAAAACGAAAATGATATTTGCTATGAGAGATGCAGAATTTTATAACAATTTAAAATATATTTAACCAACATCAACAAATTTAAACTATATCTAATAACAATAAAAATAAACAGCAAACCAAGACATGAGATTTTGCTACAGGTTTTCGACATATCGACCGTCTTCTGTTATGGACAGACGGGGCAGTTTTTGAACATTTCTCGCGGAATTCATTAACTCAATGGGGGTGAAAGATACCCTCTCATAACTGCTAAGTATTTCTAATTCTTGTCTAGATTATACGGAAGAATAAGGAACCTTTATTCTTCCGCAAATATATCTATAGGATTAAATCCATAAGCACTAAGTCAGGCGGCCTCGACGGCCAACGTCTGGGATCTTGGTTAGCTATTCAATTATTCTTGAAATTGGCTGCAAAAATATGTTGATAACTTCAGCGTTCAGAGGCGGTGCGTCATCTTGCTGGAAAAATATGTTTTCGAGTTCCATTAAGGGCATATCATCATATCATCAATAAGGGGTCCAAAGCCTACTAGTTAAAAGTGGCGAACTTTTAAAAATTCTGTATTTCGAAAAGGATTATAATAAAATATCAAGTGTGCTATATTTTTGGAAAGGTAATTTTAAATTATTTTCAGTTAATTAAAAATATAGAGGGTATCCCAAATAAAAAATCAATTTTTCTGCTGATAACTCTTAAATTATTAATTTAAAAAAAATTATACTTAAACCATTAAATTCTACGTAAAAAGGTGCTTTGGAAATGTTTTCATAGAAATGCAAAATTTTCCATAGCAAAAAAGTCACAGCGATTTATTAAAAATGCACATTTTTGAAAAACATCCCGTAACTCCGAAACGGTAACAGATATTGATGTGCGGTTTTCACCATCATGTTTTTGATAAAAATTGAGCTCCAGACACCGATATTAGTTTTCGTCTATTTCCCATAGAAAAATGTGTTTCCATTTACAAGCGTCGAATTTGACCCACCCTGTACATGTAATTCCAATTATTCTGATTTAAATTTAATTTTTAAACTCACAAAACTCATTGTGAAGAAAATAATATCGTTTTGTAATAATCATTTAATATTAATAAACTGTTTTGTAAAATTATTTTTTTTGTAAAGCTATGTAAAAATATCTTATTAAAATACTATAACATTTTTTTGTAAAATTACTACCTAGTAATATTTTATTAAATAATATAATAAAAATATCAACTAAATATTTATTTCAATTAAAGTATTTAATATTTTGTTTTTGAATTTAAAATAATAATAAGAAACGATTTTAATCAAAATTACATAAATCTTACATGATGTGTAAAATTATTCTGAAAATAATTTTTGAATAAAATATACATTTCTGGTGTTTTCTAAGCTCCTTCGCCATTTTGTCATCACACATACGCATTAGTAACTCACGAGATAAATAAAAATAAAGATATAAATAAACAAGCTTTACTGTACATGGTGTCCCATTTTCGTGTGTTTTATGGGATTTTTCGTTTATGAGTAGACATACAAAGATGCGGTTTTCTCATGACTCTACTACGTTTTTTATGCAACTAAAAACGCTACACACAGATTTGTCCTAGCCCCTTTGGTTTCTGAAAGACAGTGCGAATTTGAAAATGTTGCATTTTTTACCCCTTTTTTAATTTCATATAAAAGTAGCACAGTGATAGTTATTTATAAACGAGAAACGCTGTATAAATCGAAGATAACCAAGATATCCCGTATGATCGAAAAAACGGCTTCCAAGAAGGCTGGGGAATGACAATCGTTGATAATTTAGGCGAGGATTGTCAAAAATTAACACTTATTACAGAAAAACTAAAAAAAGATATAGAACGTTTCCAGACACAACCCTATTTGCAAAAAAAAAATCTCCCGAATTTTAAATTACACCATTTAAAAAGCGCTTTTACTCAATAAAAAAATAAATTAAAACATTCCCTAAGCTCAACATAATATAGATTCAAAACCAAGCTAAGTCCTGATATTATTTGACGATAATCGAGAGAAGCCGAATAAAGTTCACTTTATAAAAATAAAAATAAAAACTTTTAAGTAATGTTCTCATCCTGCTGGTAAAGTAAATAAAATACTGTCGCATGCCCTTTTATTAATAGGCTTAAAAAATCTTAATGTTGCCTTAAATAAGCAACATCCATCAACGTCCTCAAACAGCTAGATAACCCAGAAACAATGTCCGACGTCCCTAATCATCTTAGGGACAACAAGATAACGAGTGTAATTTAGCATCCAAAATATATGATAAACCCTAAATTCCAAAATTGAGGCAAAAACTTTGTGTAAGAACGCCAATCATAGAACAACTACGGAAACTATTTTAACTGGTGTGAAATTTGTTTATAAAAATGAAAATATTCTCTTCTTTTCAATTATTTTTGATTATTAATTGATTCGATAATTATTATTGAGGTACGTAAGAGATTAGTTATGAAAACTTTCGATTTTCGTTATAGTGAGAATCGCACCTTAGACGGAACCTTAGGTGATTGCCATTTTATTTAAAAATCGCTTTTTATTCAAAATCCGAGGTAGATAGGTATAGGAAGCTCTAATATAGTTTGAAAGAGAATTAGAATCTGCTTTAAAAAAATAAAAGTTAAATAAAAAAGTGTGAGTTTTCTGTGAGCTTCCAGCTCTGGTAGCATCTCGGGTAGCATACATATTTAAATATCTCAAAAACCAAAGATTTTAAACATATTTAACCCTTATAATAAATGCCTTTTTTTGGGCCCAAGAATCCAAAGATGAAGTCAAATACCGGGCGTTCCATAAGAAAAAATATAACTTTGGCATGGATCTTAGTTTTGAAATACCCTATATATTTCAAAATAATTTTAAATTGTGTACATTGCATCCCCACATATACTCATAAAATAGTTTGTTTCTACATCTTTCCGTTTTCGTATAATTAACCGAGGCGAATGAGGAGCGCCACCTTGTATGAACTTTTACTTCTAATATAAAAAAAAAAAAAATTTTTGGAGACAACAAATGATAAATAAAGCAAAAAGTTGTTTTCTTTGTCAATAAATACAATATAATAACTATCAGCACTAAAATTAACTCCATTAATACTCCTACATCAAGTTTATTCTAATTATTCTCTAATACAACCCTATTAAATCAAAAAGCCTACTGCTCACCGTCTGCGCTATTTGCCACGCCCGATTGTCCAGGAAGAAGCGGATGGTTTTGAGATGGGACAGTGATTGATTCACTCGCCTATTCAGAGGGGGCAGCACCACCTCCAGCGTGGTCACTTTGTAAAGGATCCTGCCGCGGGCCTCGTTCAACTTTTGCAGCTCGTTCTGAGCGAGTTTCCTCACGGAAAAGGCCTGGAAAATGGCGGAAAGGTCCGGTTAAATTGGATTCGGTTTTGTTCGATTGTGTTCGGGGTCGAGGGTATTGTGCCTTGATGGATGACTTTAGGGGATATTTCAATTGTAGATAAGTAAAAAAGCTAAAATTACCATAAATCTAGAAATTACGTATACAGGGTGTTTCAAAAGCAGGGAGATTCGTCACGTAAAAATATGATTTATTTTTCATATCAACATAGGTTCGATTCTGCTTTGTTTCGTAGCTACAGGGCGTTATAGTCTTAATAATCTTTCGATTTATTATAATTTTCTTCCAAGTACTTTTAGTGATTCCAATAAAATTTTGAGGGTAAAAGCCTTGTTTATATATTCTTAAAGTTGCCCAACCGACTAGACAAAATGTGCTGCCAACTGGAGGACAAATCGTGAACCTTTCGGGGCGGAGTCAAAAATATCAATTATTTTCGTTATTTTCCTCAGAGTAATGTAACAATATAGCCCCGGGTTTCTGCGAACTTTAATAGTGATCAGCTGATTAATATATTTAAACGAAACTTTTATTTTATTGTAAATTGTGGATTATTTTTGCCTGTAATATTCAAAAAAAGTTACATACCTATTTTAATTTGATTTAGTGCAGGTTTATTAAAGAATCATTTCATTCTTAGATTATTTTATTCTAAATTGATTGTTTAACGAATTTTACGATATATTTTTTTTTGAAAACATAAAACTTTTTACATTCTTGATTAAATGTTCAAAAAATTGCAACTTGCTTCAATATTATTTGACATTAAAATAAATATATTGTACTTAATACACCATCTAAATCTTTATTACACCAATTAAATCTTTATTAATGTAAAATATGGCCAGAGTTTTAAAATCAAGTTTGCTTTAACTTTGTATGTATGAAGAATTATAAAAACTAAAATTTCATTATTTTAACTCATACACAAATCCCGTTAAACCATAAAACTTTCTAAAAGCAGAATACATCTAACTGAAATAATTCAAGTAGGTACATTTTCATTAAAAAAATGTATCAGGAAAATAAATTAATTAGATAATGCAAAATTTATTTTTTATTCTGTTTATATTATGGTCTTCAGTATTTTCAATACACAGGGTGTTTTCTACGACGTTCTCTATAGGTTTCTCGAAAACTACTGCAGATAGAGAGTCGGTTAAATGGGGAAAGAATTGCAGTTTTGTGAGGTCATAAATATGCGCCTTTCAGATTTTTGAAAAAGTTCATGGATTATTAGATATTTCGAAAAAAAAACTTTGGCTATTTTAAAAATTGTCCCTAATTCCATTATAGTTTATTTTAATCAAAAAGTTTTCAGATAAAAGTTGTAGATAATCACATCCTTAATGAGATTGCGTCCTCCTAACGTCGTGAACGTTATTTACGATTTTAAGAGAACGGTTTTCAAGACATGTTAGAAAAGTTAAATTTAGATAGTCGCGCAGTAGGGTGGTTCCAATATGACTTTCATTATGAAACTTCCCCCCCCCCCATAATGAAAGAAATGTTAAAAATTATTTATATCACAATTATGCAAACTCAGGGATCGGAAGAGGTGGATGGTGGACCAATTGTATGGGCCCCCTCGAAGAGGCGGTACGGGAGAACATTTTCTAAAATAACTTAAGTGTATGGGGTAGTGATATTATGAGGTTTTAGTTTGCGTAATGTAAATCGTAAAGAACCGTTTAATAATATATTCTGTGTTTCTATGTTATAAATCATAACAGAGTAAGAATACCATGTCAACTAAGTGAAATTAGCCAAGAAAGAAAAGAATTGCCTATAACTATAACTCTGTATCTAACTGTAATTTTTCGATAAAAACATATACATATACCTATATCGCTGAAAAGCTTAAAAACGGTGATTTTTATGAAGTCATGGCCAACTATGGTCAAAAATTACAGGCTTTAGAAGAAATCAGAAAACACAAACTCATTAGGTATATGTAATTATCTACAACTTGTATCTGAAAACTTTTTGTCTAAAATATATTATAATGGAATTAGGGACAAGTTTTAAAATAGCCAAAATTTGTTTTTTTTTCGAAATATCTAGTAAGCGATAATTTTTTTCAAAAATCCGAAAGGCGCATATTTATGACCCCACAAAACTGCAATTCTTTCCCCATTAACCGACTCTCTATTTCCAGTAGTTTCCGAGATACCCATAGAGAACATCGTAGGAAACTCACCCTGTATAGTATTTTGAAACTAACTATTATTATTATTTGACTAGTTTAACTTGATTAATAAGACTAGATTAATTTAATTTCAAATAAATTTGATCAGATTTTTTTCGTATATTCTGCTACCAGAAAACCAAGATTATATGATAACGCACTTTTCAACGAAGTTGAAGGAAGATATAGTGTATCTATCACAATACTTAATAGAACTACTACAATTACAAGGAAAACAAAAAGAAGAAATACCCAAATACCCCTTCACCTACTACTTAACTACAAAATAAACTATAAAAACACTACTAAACTATTTTTGGTAGACTACACTAACATGCTACACTAAACACTATAATTAAACTTAATAAATTAATCTAATTTTGCACTACAACTGCAAAGAAAAAAGAAATAAGAACATTTTCTAAAACTAGAAGAAACAGAACTTCCATACGTGCGACCAGGATAATAGGTAAAGGGGACAAAGAATATAAAATACTTTAAAATGTGCATTCAGAAAGAAAAAATACCTCGAAAATTATCTAAACAAACATTTTTATTTCTTATCAGTGAGAAACATCGGCCTCGTCGGCGTTGAAGAATTTGTCGGGTATTTACAATGGTCGAATTGTATAATTGCCAGCTTTTATAGCATATCTAATAGACAAAAAGTATCTGGTCGATTAGTAACCAATTGGCACAGTCCGAAAATTATCGATTTTTATTTTCTCTGTTTTTATTGGTAGCTTCAAAATTTAGAGTAACAAAAAATATTTTTCTGTAGTAAAAGATCGTGAAATACGCCCCGCCATCTGGTGCTTTACATCCATAAACGTCTTAGGTTGATCTACTTTAAAAATATATATACAAGGGTAAAAGTTACTATAAATACTACATATTTTAATGCTAAAAAAGTGTCGATAAATTCATCAGAGACGTGCATATGGGTTATCACTGGAATATTTTTTAAAAATAAAACATGTGCGCCACTGACTTTTTTTCTTTTGATATCAAAGTTGTGTAGACCGTTTAATCTCTTGGTATTTTGTCGAATTGGGCCACCTTGATGAGATAAACGCAATTTTATTAATCACAATTAATAAAATTAATATAAAAAAATAATAAATTATATATTTCCCTAGTTTATTATTAAATATTATTACTATTAGTTATTATTACTATTAGTCCAACCTACAGCTATTTCAAATAAAAAAAATAATGGTATTTAAGATAATTACAAAAACCCTAATTTTAAAAAGTTTTAACATCCTGTAACTCTAAAACTAAGCATTTCCATACCTATGTTTATAAGTACTTTTTTCATATTTTTTGATGAGGAATCAATGAGTACTTATTTAAAACTTTCGCAAGTTAATGATGTTAAATTTTTTTAAAGTATGCTATTAGACTTGGGTCAAGGCAAATTAATAAAATTGCGTTTATCTCATCAGGGAGGCCAAAATCGACAAAATATCAAGAGACAACTTTTAATCGGCATTAAACTGCTTACACTATTTTATTATCAAGAGAAAAAAAGTCAGTGGCGTACATGTTTTTTTTGTTAGAAAAATATTCCAGTGATAACACATACGCACGTCCCTGGTAAATATGTTAACACTTTTTTTGCTTTAAAATATGTCGCATTTATAGTAACTTTTACCCCCAAAATTTAATTCGAAACGCTGAAAGTACTTTGAAGAAAATTATAATAAATCGAAAAAATATTAAGGCTTTAACACTCTGTAGCTACGAAACAAAGCAGAATCGGACCTATGTTGATACGAAAAAGAAATCTTATTTTTACGAGAGATGGCACATGTTTTTTAAAACATCCTGTAAATACCATTAGTCAAGTGGAATAAAATTGAAAAAAAGAAGAAAAAGAAGAAAAATAGAAGCAAATTTAAAAAAAAAAATTTCGACTTTTTTGGATTGCATCTGGATATTTTTAGTTTCGCGTTTTTTAACAAAGACTTTTTATACCAGGTGTGTTATGTTACAGTGAACAATACCAACTTTTTTATTTTAAATCAGAATTTTGTATTATCGTTGGTTGAAGAAATAAGAAGATGCGCATCCTTATGAACGAATTCGCAGCACAAAGGGTGTCCGTGATGAAGCTGGCCTTAACGTCAGGGTGTCCGAGATTTAGTTTAGTGCTGCGCTCTGATTGTTGTTTACACCGCAGCGGATAAAGAATACTGTACCGTAGTTCTGCTTTCAGTCGGCAGAGTGGGTCGTTGATGGAGACAGTATTGCCAGAACTAGAGATTAATCCGTAGATTTACGGATTTTGGTTACAGTACGTTAATAATACGGATTTTCTATTAAACAATTTAATAAATTATATGATTAAACATAGGACGGCGTCAGAGGCTTGGAAATGAACATCGCTGTTATTTCATAGTATGTAAAATACTATGGTAAATGTCAATAATTGTAATTAAACGACTTTTTTCGATCATACGAAATATTCAGTACCTATAAAATAATTTTTATTTTTGTTTATTCTATGTTTACCACAATAAAAAAGTAATTCATAAACGCGAATTTTTCATCAAACGTATACAGGGTGTTTCAAAACAAATGCGAAAAACTTCAGGGGGTGATTCCTTGTAAAAAATAAAGGGTAGTTTGCTTCATAAACGTTGGGTCAAAAGTCAACCATTAGGGAGATATCGCGGTACAAAGATGGCGGAAAAAAAATGTTTTTATTTTTTATCTTGAAAACGAAAAGAGATAGACTAATGAAATTTTACGGAAGCATTACTGTTATGAAAACACACTTTCTGCTAATTTTTTCACTTTTTTAAAATGAGTGGAAGGGCTTGAAATAAACTACCCCTATCATTCTTGTTAATGAAATTTAAAGAAAAATCTTATCAAACACATGCAAAAAAAATAATTTTGATAGTTTAGTTTATTTAGAAACTTTTTTATCTCTTGTGTTTTTTTGATAAAACTCACCGATTTGAAATTAAAAAATAAAATGTAAAGCCTTACATGTCAGGACAAAAAACATTTTTAGATAAAGAATCTAGTGGGCAGCTGTGACTTTTTAGGATGTTTCTAATATTGTTTTATTTGACATTACCCTACTGCAATACGTTATTATCCAGATTATTATTATTATCATTATTATCATTAGATTCTTAGTCTAAAAATATTTTTAGTCCTGACATGTAATGCTTTACATTTTATTTTTTAATTTCAAATCGGTGAGTTTTATAAAAAAAATACAAGAGATAAAAAAGTTTCTAAACAAACTAAACTATGCAAATTAATTTTTTTGCATGTGTTTCATAATATTTTTCTTTAAATTTCGTTAACAAGAATGATAGGGGCAGTTTATTTCAACCCCTTCCACTCATTTTAAAAAAATTAAAAAAATACCAGAAAGTGTGTTTTCATAACAGTAATGCTTCCATAAAATTTCATTAGTCTATCTCTTTTCGTTTTCAAGATAAAAAATAAGAACATTATTTTTCCGCCATTTTTGTACCGCGATATCTCCCTAATGGTTGACTTTTGACCCAATTCGTTTATGAAGCAAACTACCCTTTATTTTTGAACAAGGCATCACCCCTGAAGTTTTTTCGCATTTGTTTTGAAACACACCTGTATACAGGGTTGTTCACCACATGCGACACGACATTATTAGGAAGGAAACGATTATATTTTTTACAAATTGTAAAGTTTTGGGTTCGATGAAGGACTATTAGAGGTACACTTTAAAAATAATTTATACAAGATACAGAGTGTCCTAAATAAGTAAAAAATATCAAAGTTGTGATCTTTTTAAATAGAACACCCTGTATATTATTTACATTTTTTTAGTTTCTACGATTAAAATAAAGGTAAATTTGATTAAGGTTTATTACACTAAGAATCTTACCGTTTTTGAAATATTTTCACTTTCTTTTGTGAAATAGCAGTAAAAAATTTTACTAAGGCTTCATTTGTCCAAGGGTACTGCAAAGATTTTAATACGAAAATATTACTGAAGTTTATTTACATTGATCAGTTATTGTTGTTGCAATAATAAAAATAATACTACCTTATACAGAGCGTCTCAAAATTTATTTTAAATAATTTCTAGCTTTGAACGCCAATAACTTCTTTAATTTAAATGGAACGTCCTGTATATTTTAGGAGAATCAGATGCACAATTTAATTGTCTTTCAAATTGTATTATACCATTTTTTACCATATTATTATCGTTTTAAGCAAAACGATAATATTACTAGCCATTTGTATGCAAAAAGAAAACTATTTAAATCTTTATAAAAGAGTATACCATTAATTAAATATAACACCACTATTTCCGCCCATATACTAATTAATTACATACTTAATTGTGTTCGTTAATAAATTATTCTAAATAAATGTGGATTTCAGTCAGAAATCAATATAATAATAAGTTATCAAAATGAACGTCTCTGTTGTTATAAATAAGCATTTATTAAAAAAATGAAATATAATTTTAAGGTGTTACTTTTTACCACACTGTCTAATACACATACAAAACTCAGTTTTTTAGTATTTGGGGCAATTATTATTAATCAACGCAAACAGTCAGTTAATGTAGTTTGAATACTGGAATCATATTAATTGGTCTTCTTTAACAAATATTTAAATAGTTTTTTTTTTATTTTTTAAATCTTTAAAAAATCTATCTTTAAAAATAATCTAAAATGTCAATATTCCATGGGTATATTGATAAATAAGTTCTAAATTACAAGAAAACGCATTTTCTACGGAAACTTAAAGAGATAAGTAAAAAATGGTATAATACAATTCGATAGACAATTAAATTGTGCATCTGATATACCTAAAATATACAGGGCGTTCTATTTAAATTAAAGAAGTTATTGGCGTTTAAAGCTAGAAATTATTTAAAATAAATTTTTAGACACTCTGTATAAGGTAGCATTATTTTTATTATTGCAACACAATAACTGATTAATAAATAAACTTCAGTAAATATTTAGTATTAAAAACTTTGATACCCTTGGAGAAATAAAGCCTTAAAATTTTTGCTGCAATTTCACAAAATTGAAAATATTTAAAAAACGGTAAGGTTTAAGTGTAAATCAAATTTACCTTTATTGTAATCGTAGAATCTAAAATATAATAATATACAGGGTGTTCCATTTAAAAAAATACAACTTTGATATTTTTTACTTATTTGGGACACTCTGTCTCTTGTAAAATTATTTTTAAATTGTACCCTCTAATAGTCCTTGTGAAGGGTACACAAACGCATTTCAAATACATCTGAAAGTCAACCTTAAAGGTCGTTTAAGGTCTCACAACAAGGTTCTTTCTGGAATCACTCAAGGAGGTTTGAAAGCCACATATGTCAAGGTCAAGCGAACTGCGCATGTGGAGGAGCCCAATCGGCTAATATCTCCTACTCCTTTCGCTGGCCGAATTAGAGAAAATGAGTGTTTTATGCGTTGGCCGCAGAACGAGTAGTGGCTCTATGGGGAAATTTTAATAGCCTTGTCACGAATTCGCCTATTAGGTGGCGTATCTTCCCAATTCTTTCAACCAACAATATTATTACATATTTGGGAAAATTACTCGTAATTCTATCCATTATTCAAATGCTTCTGAAATATTAAGTGGTTTTTGCAAAACTGCTGTTACTACAGGACAGTAGCTGGCAGTGTTATAGTTGTTTTCAGTTTTTAGAATTTCATCAACACAGTTTGGACTACTTGGTATAACACTATTCAAAAATAGTAATTTCAACTTACCAGATTATCAAACTTTCTTGCATTAACTGGATCGTTGATCTGCCTTGCAACTGTGTTGATCTGATCAGCAAACGAACCAAGATCCCTTTTGGTTGTAGGAGTTGAAATTCTAATTCTATGCGCGGTAAAATTAGTTGATGTCAAAGTAGATAACACCTATGTGGTAAAAGAATAAACTCAGCATTATCATTCAACAAGCTATTTGTTTACTTATGGTTATTTGAAATTTTCAATATAAAGAAACTATGTACGAGTCAGATTCAAAGTAGTTAGTAATAACATAGCTATTTGTAAAACTAAACAAGCACGAAGTAGTAGGTAGCACGTGGTAGTAAAATATTAGTTATTTTTTATACAAGACGATAAAATGGTATTTTATCGTCGACCGGAAAAGGTTAATAAAATTGACGAGCGATGAAATCGCGAGTGAATTAATTTCGGGAGACGATAATGCAATTTTATCGTCGTGTATAAAATAATACTTTTTTCCATAGCGAGTTACGTTTTAAAAAATATTCAGAAATTCATATTTCAAGGAATTTATTACGAGTAAGTTATACAACGGAAATCTGCTGACGTAGTGCCGGTGCCGGATAGTGAGTGCTTAGTGTGCATGTTTCGAATCGTCTTGATTTTCTAACAGACATTATTTGATTCAGACAGATATTTGATTTGAAGTAATTTAGATCTATTAATTTTAACTTCTGTATTTCTAATTTTTTTGTAACTTTAATGTATAAGTAAAATAAAGCTTTTATAAAAAGAAGATTGTGTCGTCTCGTATTATAAGTAGTAGAAAAATATTGTGCTGGGTTGGCGTTGGTTTCTATGTAATTTGACAAATAAATATAAAGCTGTCTCTTTAGTTGTCAGTTTTGAGTCAATATTTTTTAATTCTCTTTCGTGTCGATTGCTGATTGAATTGGAGCCAGGGCCATGTAAGTGAAATATTAAAAATGATTCCAGCAAAAGTTTCCCAATTTACGACGGGTGATGGCGCTGATCGTCAAAATTTTTGTACAGGGATTTTGCTTACCGACAATACGACGTGAGCTACGACCGGACCAGGACCAATCAGAACGATCAGTCTTTCTTGGACATTTGCCGTGGAAGTGTGTGTTAATTTCTGTTGTGATAAGTGTGTTTGTGTTTGCAGTTTGATTTTTCGGTTTTGATATTAAGTTAAAATTAATTTTGATGTATTGTATCAACTGTTTTTATGTAATAGTACTTTTTTTTAGTTCTATGGTCTGATATGTAATGATTTGTTAATGTTTGATTAACAATGTTATACCAAAGAGGTTATACTTAATATATCAATTTGCATAGCATACCTTTTTTATCAATAAACTTTGTTGATTTTCAGATTATTTAATTCCTTTTGTTTCCGTTTGTAATTTTATTTTTAAGACATATTATGTGATTGTTACACATAATATGTTTTATAAATCAAATTGCAAATAGCGAATAAAGATAATTAAAATAAAAAAGTGTATTTTACAATTTTCGCCTGCTCCCCCCGGCCCCGCACCCCTTTGGCTATCCTGTAAATGTTAGCTACAACGAGAGATGGCGCTACCAAAATGGTACCGATTCATTACAAGGAACTTGGGCTTCTTTTTCGTTAGTATATTCTGTGAACGAAATAAGTAAATTACTAACAGATATTCAGGCTGGGGCGACAAACGCCATATCCAAACTACTTCCATTTAAATCCCGAATAACTTATGAAAAGGAATACAAAAATTTTCAAAAATGGAAGCAATTAAAAAACGTGCGAGAAGAAATAAATTTTTTAACCTATCCTCGCTGTTAAAGTATCATTTAATCTACACTTGCGGTTAAAGTACTATTTTATCTACTATTTTTGATAGATATAAGGCACAGTTGCTACACAATAGTAGCTAAAAATTAATTGTTAGTTCTAAAAAAACTCAAAGTATTACCTGTAAATTTACTTGCAACTCCGAACTAATAATGTCTGCATCAGTTTTTGCATGTGTCATATTTTCAAAAATCTCCTCTAAATCCTCCCAGTTTTTGTAGTTCAAAAGCGCTTCGATATCAAAATGATTCTTGAGGTGAAACGGTTTGTAGATAGTCTGATCTCTCTGACAGCTCCTTCATTTTATCAATAAATTTAATATTATTTCAATAATTTCATTTAAAGTCAGTTATAGTACCTTAATACTTCGGCTACTAAAACTGTGCCATTTTTTGTCGATATTGTCTCAAAAAATCCGTCTTCGCCATAAAGAACTCCATTAGCATCGAGTAATTCGCTTAGAGTTTCAAAGTACGGTGACTGATAAAGTGGATTGCACAAAAATGCCTTACTGTGACCTCCAATAAGTAGTGAAATTGTACCTGTAAAGCAAGCCAGAACAAAATTTTAAATTTTGTGTCACAAAATATGTTTAAAAACCCATGTTAAGTTTTGCTTTGAATTAAACGGAATATTTGATACATTAATGTTTTTATAAAAAAAATTAAATATTTCTGATTTTTGAATAAAATTCATACTACTTTGTTATCGTCATGTCTAAAGTTAAATATAAAGGGTCATACATTTGTAGACTAGTTAACCACTTCCCCCTCCTTTATAGATCTCTTGTGTCTTCGTTTCATACAGTCTCGGTGCTTTGATAAAAGCCAGCATCTGAAACGGTTTGACAGAGGTTAAGGTAGGGTTTCCTAGGACATAAGAATTGGTGTCCTCCAACGGTCTAAGACACTCAAAAAAGTTCCTCAGAACGTACTACCGAAAAAAATCAAATATTTTCCTTGATTTAAGTAAAAACAATCTTCGGATTGTCACGGGGTTTCTAACAGGACACTGTCTCCTCAACGAACACCTCAGTAGGCTGAAGCTGAGAAACAACGGCGAATGCAGATTCTGTGGAGAAAATGGGAAAACACCAGAACAGCTGAGTGCGCCGAGACGATGACCATTCGTGCCATGAAAAATGGCTTCAAGAAGAAGGAGAACATCGCATCTTTCATCTATTTCGGAGGAATTAAAAACAAAAAATAAATAAAATTTATTTAAAATGAGGGAAAAAAGACTATCCGAGAATTGAAACAAACTTAATGAGTATTTCAGAGTCAATATTCATCAATAAAAAAAAATTGGTCAAGTGCGAGTCGGACTCGCGCACGAAGAGTTCGGTACCATTCATATCTATACAACATTAGACACTATATTATTATAAACTTTTTTTCCGATTTAGCTGAAATTTTGAATGCGCCTATAAGTAATTTCAAAAAAAAAATGAAGAAACACATTACTAAAAATTATATTAATCAATAATAAATATGTAAAAAGTAAAAATAAATATGTCAAAATATGTAAAAATTAACGATTAAAAAAAAGTCGCCTTGACTAGGATTCGAACCTGCCTTACTACGGCCCACCGAGGACTTGAAAGATTCTATGTAAAATTCTTACTTAAAAGATAATGTTTAGTGAAAGTACTTTTTTATTTATAAACATTTATTTAATTCTGTTTTTAGTATTTGTTCTTATAGCGGCAACATAGATACATTATCTGTAAAAAATTTCAACTGTCAAGCTATAACGGTTCATAAGATAGACCTTTGTGATGGACGGACGGACAGCGAAGTCTTAGTAATAGGGTTCCCGTTTTTACCCTTTGGGTACGGAACCTAAAAAGAAAAAAAAAAAGATGGGTTTAGTAAAAAAGGAGTTTTAATTGTGAATACCGAAAACTTGTGGAACGATTTTTATAGTTAAACAATTATAAATTTACCTATTTTGTAGCACATTTTGGTTTATTAAGCATTCTTATTCCAGTGAGCACTTTATTCCTTTAAGGGAAATGTGTTCTAGGTGACGTCGTTGTTACGTTACCAGGCCCATCTTTTGCCTGATATGAAGCAATAAAACGCAGAATACGTAGTAACTGTTCCCTAATGGTCCCTAAATGTGACAAAACTTCACTGGGATCTTTTTACTAAGTAATATGTTGTAGGTTGCAGTATTATTAAAGTCTAAGTTAATTTCGTAGAATATCTTTGTCTAAAGTCTACATATCAGTTCTTCTGACAGCGTCTGTCATATTTGCATACTTTATATATTCACAAATGTAAATCTAGTCACAGAAGTTAATTGACCTAGTTCCAAGAGAAAATTTTCTAGATCTAACTTTAGCGTTTTAGGTCATATTGCATAAGGCACTTATAATATTACTTTAATTTTCATACAACGTTTTTCTCTCTAGATAGGTACAGACTGTCCGAAAAGATTTTTACTCCAATGTTCTTTACAAAATATACAGCCAGACTACCAGTAGTATCGAATAAAAAACGGCGTCAAAGACAGCTGGAGAATGACTATCAATAATAATTTTGGCGAGGTCAATCTCTGGATGTGATTTAATAAAAATTGACAGAAAACTAACACTAATTATAGAAATATTAAATAAGATATAACGTTTCCAGGCATACAACACTACTTCCAAAAAAATATTTTTTCTCGGATTTAATAATAATTTTTACACTATTTAAAAATCATTTTTACTCAATATAAAAATAAATTATTATTATAACAGCATTGAAAAATGAAGAATAACGTTAAACCATCTTTTATACATGTCCATGGATACTACCGGGTGTCCCACTAAGAATAGCTCTCGGCTGTATCTCGGAAAGTATTAGCCGTAGGGTTTACGGAAAAAAGTATTTAGAATTAAAGGGGCTATGAGAAATTGCTGGAAAAGTTTTTACACAATTTTGCCTAGATAAGGTGATCTATAAATAATAGCTTCATAATCTTCAGTAAATTTTGAGTACTTTTTGTTAGAGGCATTTTCCCCTATCTACCAAAATAAAGTGGTGGGGGAAGGCTAGATCTGTTTTTATTTAAATATTAATAACTCTGGACTGGATGATCGGAATCCAACAGACGAGGGCTCGTTTAAAAGAGCGTTCCTTATTCTATATTGTACCACATAAACAATAATAATAAGCTTTTGAACGTAGACGCTAGGGGGCGTTGTTTTACAATTTAACAAACATTGCGCGTTTTTTCAAAAAAATTAAATACAAAAGTATTTGTAATTTTAGCTGATAGCAAAGAGTAGTAAAAACTTAAAAAGTCAGCGAAAACCGCATCTTGATATCTTCTTTCAAACCGAAGATATTAGCAAAATTATAATAAATACCAAAAAATAAGCCCTTAATTACCTTATTTTTACAACACGGGATCAGTAGCCCTCTTAATTATGCCCATTCTAACAAAAAAAAAATAAGATAGAAACAGTTAGTTTATTTTAAAATCGACGAAATACCAGTATACCATAATACCAGAGGTATTAATATCTAATAATTAAGATATTAATAACAGTGAACAAGAAACGATGATTCGGTGAAGTCATGGTAGGCTTTGGGAAAAAGTTGCTTTTGACGTAATAGTATAAACGTCAAATTGTTATTAGATCAACATTTTGATAGTCTTATCATTGCTTTTTAAAAATGCCTTTATTATTTGAAATTGTTGAAGTTGTTGGCATTTTGAAAAAGCAATTAAAAGATAAAAAACGCTGATAGACCATTAAAATTTGATCTAATAACAATTTGACGTTTATACTATTACGTCAAAAGCAACTTTTTCCCAAGGCCTACCATGACTTCACCGAATCATCGTTTCTTGTTCACTGTTATTAATATCTTAATTATTAGATATTAATACCTCTGGTATTATGGTATATTGGTATTTCGTCGATTTTAAAATAAACTAACTGTTTCTATCTTATTTTTTTGTTAGAATGGGCATAATTAAGTGGGCTACTGATACAGTGTTGTAAAAATAATGTAATTAAGGGCTTCTTTTTTGGTATTTATATAATTTTGCTAATATCTTCGGTTTGAAAAAAGATATCAAGATGCGATTTTCGCTGACTTTTTAAGCTTTTACTGCTCTTTACTATCAGCTAAAATTACATATACTATTGCATTTAATTTTTTTGAAAAAACGCGCAATGTTTGTTAAATTGTAAGACAACGCCCCCTAGCGTCTACGTTCAAAAGCTTATTATTATTGTTTATATGGCACAGTATAGAGTAAGAAACGCTCTTTTAAACGAGCCCTCGCTTGTTGGATTCCGATTGTCCAGTCCAGCATTATTAATATTTAAACAAAAACAGATCTAACCTTCCCCCACCACTTTATTTTGGTAGATAGGGGAAAATGGCTTTAACAAAAAATATTCAAAATTTACTGAAGATTATGAAATTATTACTTATAGCACACCTTATCTAGGCAAAATTGTGTAAAAACTCCATTTTTATATTTTTGTTCCAGTTGCGCCCCCTAGCGGTCGTTCTACAAACTTGAAAATAATTTCCAGCAATTTCCAATAGCCTCTTTAGTTATAAATATTTTTTTCTGCAGCCCCTACGGCTAATATTTTCCGAGATACAGCCGAGAGCTTTTCTTAGTGGGACACCCTGTATAATCATTATTGTTCTTGTTTAAAATATTAGAAAAAAAAATAAAGAAGAAATTGAAATAATTTTGATCAGTTCTAGAACGTAAACTACTCTGTATTTAATATCTCTCGTTATGTCTATTATTTCTTTACAATACTACAATACTTAAATAATATGAATAATAAAATTAAATTATTTTTTACCTAAAGCCCATAAGATGACACAAACACAGCAGGATAATCCCACGCCTGAGTGAAATAGAGGTATAGTTTTTGTGGTCAGGCCGCATCCACAGGGTGCACCACAAATTAACACACCCCAAGTTAGGGCAACCACAGCTGTAACACCTGGAAGGGTTAATTAACTTTTAATACAGGGTGGCCCATCGAAAACGTTCCGCAAGGCATAACGGCCAGGGTATTTCTTTTTTCTAAAAATCCAAAAACACGTCAATTTTGTTTGTGAGGGGCACAAGTTTTGCCCCAAAAATGATTGCAAAATCTTCAACCCTCTGAGCGGGGGTGTCATCCCCCAACTTTTTTCAAATGGGAAGGGGGGTCAAGAGGCGCCGCAATGAAAAGAGCTTTCTATTCTCTATATTTCCCCGCCTTGTTTTTGAAAATCGGTCGAGTCATTGAGAAAATATGAAGGATTGAAATTTGAAAAGTTTATTTAAACATTTATCAGAATAAATGATAAGGATAAATTCCTTCGACCAATTTGCTGTTTTTTCTTATTATTTCTAGATGCTTACGCATTTTTTCACTTGCCAGAAGGTTGAACGATCAGGTGCGGTCTCAATATCGTTAAACTGACCTACAATAGAATTTCCAAAAATACCAGCCCGCGACGATCAAAATCGTCTTCGTTGAGTTCTTGTACCAACTGAATTTTGTACGGGTGGAACGTGTGTTTTTTTTAATATCCTTTGGACACTTGTACGACTCACGCCGGTCTCATTGGCTAATTTTCTTGTACTCAGCGTACTATCCATGGCAACTTGGCCCAATACGAATACCTCCATAGCTTCATTTACTACAGGATTTTCCCTCTGCCTCTTTTTATTCATAACGGAACCAGTTTCACAAAATTTTGCTACTAACTCGCGAAGAATTTTGACATAAAGGTGTTTGTCAGGATGGCGTTCATTGAATATCTGCGCCACCCGATTGCTACAATCATTATTTTTAAAATAAAGTTCGATCATTTCCATTTTTTCTGCAAGTGAGTACATCATAATTTTGTTAAAAAGTTTAACGATATTGAGAAGAACTTCAACGCACAAGTCACAGAACAGCTATCTAGCAACTACCGCACCTGATCGTTCAACCTTGTGGCAAGTGAAAACATGCGTAAACATCTAGAAATAATAAGAAAAAAACCAGCAAATTGGTCGAAGGAATTTATTCTTATCATTTACTCTGATAAATGTTTAAATAAACTTTTCAAATTTCAATCCTTCATATTTTCTCAATGACTCTACCGGTTTTCAAAAACGAAGCGGGAAAATATAGAGAATAAAAAGCTCTTTTCATTGCGGCGCCACTTGACCCCCCTTCCTATTTGAAAAAAGTTGGGGGATGACACCCCCGCTTAGAGGGTTGAAAATTTTGCAATCATTTTTGGGGCAAAAGTTTTCCCCCTCACAAACAAAATTGACGTGTTTTTGGATTTTCTGAAAAAAAAATTACCCTGGCCGTTATGCCTTGCGGAACGTTTTCGATGGGCCACCCTGTATGTATCGGGTGCGTCTTAAAAGTGGCTTACCCCTATAACTTTTTTATTTTTTCAGATAAAAAAAACGACATTTAGTATGTTAGTATATGACATAAATTAGAATTTATTGTCGTGTTCAATTGTGTTCGGTCTGTTCCTTCCTGTTTCACCGGAAATGACTACAGCTTTTGATTTTTAAAGGGCACACACTGTATTTTTTTACTTTATTCGATAGAAAATGACACTCTGAAGAGAATGACATATAATATGTCAATTTTTGACATTCTCACTTAAAAAAAATGTATTTTAAATTTCAATCTAGAGTGCCATAGTTGTGTTAAAAACACTGATTAATCAACGATCCTTGAAAAAATAGATTTGATCGTCTAATGTTTTTAGTGTTTTGTCCTGGCCGGTTAAGAAAGGCCCAAATCGTATTTTTAATCATATCATAATTTTTTCAAATAGAACGAGGGTGGCTCATTAACATATTTGGAAAAGGCATTTTTTTTACGAATAATTTGGTACCACACACTTGGTATTTCGAGTCAAATTGTCGTTATGAACCGCATGTTACAATTTCAAATAAACCATACAGGGTGGCGCCTCTCATACGTCGCAGAGTCTCCAAGAAGAATGACAGTTTGTATTGAAATGAAATTTTGTGAGCATATGTAGGTTAATTCAGAGTACTTTTTAAAAATATAGAGAGTTCTACAGGGTATCCCCCAAAAAAGTTACATATCAAAGTTGTGTTTTTTGTAATAGAACACCCTATATATTAATTGATTTTCGGATTCTGGAAGAAAAATAAAGGTGAGTTTTATAAGAGAAGTATATAACTAAAATGTAAGGTTTTTGACATATTTAACATTTTCTAGAAATAAAGAACAGTTTTAAAATTACAATAAAAGCTACCTAAATTGGAATTTACCCGGTATAGTCTAATATGTAGTTAAATTAACCATTGTACTTTAAATCAAATTTAAACTTAATCCAAAAAGTTATACAGGGTGAGACAAAATGAATATTGAACATTGGCCACCTTTAAAAGCATGTTACTCTTTTATTTTAAATGGAACACTCAGTATATTATTCCGATATTCAATGGAGAATTCATGTCTCTTCAAAATACTATTAACGTTGCCTAACCCTCAAACAAATATTTTCCTAGATATTTTCATTTACATGATTTGATCTGAGTAAATCGTTATTATTTGATAAAATCAGGGTTATTTGATAAAATCAGTATCTAGACCAAAATTTCGGGGGGGGTTTGGTTTGGGGGGGGGGTTACAAAACTGCTAGGAAAAAAGCATAATAAAAAAATCGCTTTGGGCTACACTCAAATCTTAATTGAAAATAAAATTTTAAAAAAGTAACAGGCAAAAATTATTAATTTTGAGGATAAACTGGTCTTTTCCCTGGAAAAACGATTGACTCGATATCGATATTTATTTCTCTATGTACGCTTAATAGAGCAAGTCCTGTCAATCGCTCCTGACCTGTAGAGTTACGTAGGAAGTTCTTCAATCGTCTTATGCCGCAACCGCAATTTAGCGAACTCCGAGCGCTCTTTAACTACCGAACGCTCGTGATCGGACTTCGCCTTTCCATCCACACATGCGGGCTCTGATAGCAACAACATAGAGACGAGCGCTCGTTCTCGTCTGCGAACTCCGACTTCCTCATCCACACACATAGGAAATCGGCGAAACCCCGATCGGAGATCGCCGAATACCGCATGTGCGGTTGCGGCATTAGGGTTGAAAAAGACCTTTCTGGTGTAGCTGTTGACACTGGTAGAGTTGCTAAGATCATTAATAAAATGTATATATTTGGAAATATACACTGGTTACACTCCGATTATCGTTTCGATGGCGTTTTTAGGTCGGTCGACTGCAGGTGGCTGCTTCCATTTTTGCCGCCACAAGTCTAGTTCTGCCGCTAAAGTTTCATAGTCCAAGAATTCTTTGTCTAATAGCAGAACAATAACAAACGTTAATCACGTTAATGGCCAGCAAAACACACAATATTCAAAATCTTGTCCTTCTCAAACTTTTGCTGTTTTAAACACTTGAATGTTGAAAGTCGAAAATCGAAAATGACATTTGCTTTCAAAGTGGAAAAGTGAGGTTAGGGTGTATAATGTATATTCATCAATGACTAAAGAATACAAGGACAAATAGCACCCGAGACCAAACTGTGACCATTCTTCCAAACAGTGCCGTGGAACATATTTTACTTAACATTGCCGCTTGAAGGGATATTTATATATTAAATGATATTTTATGTTTTCACTACGCACTGAGGTCTCTTCTTGTAAAAAATGATTTCATTCTCACGAAGATTTTTCTCGCTTGCTCAATTCTTGAAAATATTTCTTTTTTCGGGTCGCACTGACTATTGATGTTAGCTCCTAAATACTTTATTGAGGTCACTTGTTCGATTGTTTGTCCCTTGACACGCAGGTGTGCATTTATTGGAGTCTTAGAAAAGACCAATAGTTTGGTCTTGGAGACATTGAGATGCAGTCCAAACATCTCACTATAGTGGACTACGGAATCTATAATGCGTTGCAGTTCTTGTATATCGTTGGCTATTATAACCGTATCATCGGCATATCTGATATTGTTTATTGGGATTCCATTATATCGGGATCGGGTATTATCATACTAATTAATTACGAAAAAAACGTATTAAAATGTTGACATAAGGTACATAACTAGTATCGACGTATAGTACATATCAAGTACATATAATATCAGAAAAATAATTATCGAATTCAATAAAAAAAAACGCTAAAAAGGTGTAGGGGACTATTTATTTCCCTATAAAACGTAACTTCTGGCTCTTTCTTATCATTGCGCCTTTTACACTTGAAAGCTGAACAAATTACCATTGTAATAAAGTTTATACAAAGTTCACTACACACAACCAACTATTAAAAATCGCTAAAATTGTCGCTGATGACCAGCTGATGATGTCGTTATGTCTAAAAAGTTGGCGTCTAAGGTCACAAATTCTGCTGCAGCCCGTATATGGACGTTACATGTCCTGGCATTCTTTAGTCATTGATATTCATCCATCTTCTTATTCTTCTTTTTTGTTTCGTTCTTACTTACTTACTCAATGATCATTACTTTTTAAAAATTTTCGGCCATAATTTCGGGGGGGGGGGGGGTTTGAACCCCCAAAACACCCCCCCAGATACGGCCCTGGATAAAATCTATGTGGCTGTGATATGTCTGACGTTGCTTCAACATAGCTGTCTAGTTAGTCCAACTTTAACAACTAGTTATCATTTTGTGTCAGTTAAAACAAAAAAAATTCTCAGAAATTTGCTGAAAATGCAAACTTATCCTATATCAGAGAGAAATGATATGATTCCATTAGTTGGTGAATGCAGTGTGCATTCACCAATTAATAGAATACTTAAATGCTCCTGATTTTATCTAGTCTGTTTTTTATGGGGATATGTTAAAGACAGTGTTTACAAAACTCGACCAACTATGAGAGAAATTATTGTAGCTGCTTTTCGAGGTAGAACTCCACATACGCTTTTTAAAATGAAAAGATCCTCTTGAAAATACAATCATTTTGTGCAGTTAACAGGAAAGGAAGCATTTTG